TTCAATAGAATATTTCATGAACGGGGTTTTCGCAATACTGAATCGGGGCTCCTTCGTTTTGCTCTCTTATAAAATTGAGGCCAAATGAGAGGGGTAGAAAAAACAATCATTTCAGGTTTTAACTTGTTGGGTGGTACTATTAAAAAAAATCAAGTTATTATTAGTTTTCGGTTTTATTTTAAACTTTTAGCGACATTTCCCCTTTTTTAAGGATTTCTCAAAAAAAAAATTTAAAAAAATCACAATGGTAGCTCCGAGTATTGCGCAATATTTAAGTATAGTACGATGGGGTGCACTCAAGGCACATTAAACAGGTAGTATCAGTAGAGCAAAAACAACATTTGCGTATATTTTGTTGTTGCTTCTGGTATCGAAAGTGTCAAAAACTGTTCTGAATTTTTTCTTCTAAATCAAAGCGTGCCATGTGAAATACAAAAAATTATAAAAAATAAAAAATTGAAATTGGAAAAAATAAAAATTGATGCAACTTTCTTTCCTAGTAAATTTGTTTGCTTCTCGAAGCATTGATCCATCCTTTACAAGGGCCAGTAATCAGCGGTTGTGCTGCTGAGTTGGGCGAACGTTCCAAAAGCTGCTATTCAATCGCTTGTTTTGTATGGAAAAAGGTTTCACATGCAAATAGATTTTAACAATTCAGAATTTTTGTGAGAAAAAATTAAAAATATTTGACATTTTCGAGACCAAATAATTTGAAAATAAATTAAATCAGCTGCTCTACTGATACTACCTGTTCAATGTACCTTGGGTGCACTCTATAATCTTTTGAGTTATGACTTTTTTTTACACCGAAGTTGAGTAAAATGAGTACATTACAAAATTTTTAAAATTTTTACTAGAATTTTTTTTAGTATGCAGTTTTGTAGCCCATTCATTTCTAATCTAGTAAAGTGCAAATTTTAAGCGATTGCAAAAAATTTTTAAATTCGTAATGTACTCATTTTACTCAACTTCGGTGCAAAGAATAATCATAGCTCAAATTATTGTAGAGTGCACCCCATAATACTATACTTAAATATTGCGCAATACTCGGAGCTACCATTGTGATTTTTTTTAATTTTTTTGAGAAAGCATATTTTTAAAAACTAATTTTTTTTTTTTTTAATTTTTATATAAAAATTTTTTAAGAAAATGTGAAAAATTTTCTTTAAAATTTAAAGCTTTTTAGTCAGATTTTTAAGAATTTTTTGAGTATGGAATTTTCTAAATTTAATAATTTTTGTATAATCAAGTGCAAGTTTTAAGCGCCTGCAAAATCGTGTAATATTTAATTTTTTTTTTCTGACGGCTTTTGTGGTTTTTTTCATAAAAAAAGTACAATTTATAAAAACTGGCGTTGCTGTTTTTTAATTTTCTTTGCATAAGAAACGGTCTCCATAAGAAATTCATTCTTGTATGCAAAAAAGTTCAAAAAGCCGTCACCGAAAAAAATTCTCAAAAATCAACGCTTAAATCTTGCACTTTATATACTAAAATTATTAAATTTACAAAAAACTCTAAATAAACTGATTAAAAATCTAAGAATTTTAGTGAAAATTTGTTAAATTTTTTAAGCTCTGTATATAGTTTGAAAGTTTTATTTTTATGATTTAAGTTAAAGCAAGATCCATATTTTTATTTGAAAATAACAAAAAAATTTCTACTTTAAAAACCTTTGCAAATATTTAACAAAAATCATTGCTCCCCACTGTACATACATATACTATTTGAACGAATTTTGCGAGTGCCACGTTGGGCATAGAACCCCTCAAGCCACGAAAAACAATAAATCACTTGACACTTAATCGACAGCAAAGTCAGCAAAATTAATTTTCGAAGAAAAAAATAAAATTTAAAGATTTTAATCCTACATTTAGTGAGTTGTAAATCACATTCCCGTCCCTGGTAGCAATGACAGGATAGCACAAAAGCGAAACAAGATAAAAAAATCTTAACTCTGTAGCAAAGTGTGTAAGTTTTTTTTTAGTTGATAAGAGCAGAGGCGTTCATGAATATACATATGCAGATAAGATCATTTAGACGAAGCATTTAAAGTGCGTCTGCGCTTGTTCCCTATGCTGCAGATGGTAAGTATGCCATGTGATTGATGGTTCATAAATTAGTCATTTTGGCTGGTTGTTGTCGAATTTGTCGTTATTTCGTGATAGCTGTAAAATATGTACATACATATGTACATAGGCAAAAGGTGAAGGGAAAAAAGCTAAGCAGAGACAGCAAGCTGATTCATAAGAACATAACTTTTTTTTGATGCTTGCACTACTTTCTTGACGGTAATTTGTCGTGTGCGTTGCTTGCCAAAGGCAATATCGCTTTTCTCGTCAATTTGGGCATTCATAGGGAACCACATGCATACATATGTATATATATACTATGTATAGGACTTATATAAATACTTATATAGGCACTGCGACTTAATATGAGTACATGTGTTTATACTATACTTTTACGCTGCCAGGCGGCATAATGTGCTTGTGATTGTGACGTATTAGCATTGACATCAGAGCCGATATGAGTCGTATAAGTATGTATGAATGTACATATGTATAAAAGGATTTAAATGCGCCGTACTGGTCGGCAGCAGCAGCGTTGCCGTTTTGAGGAGATTTGGCAACGGAAATAACATAAACTAAGAGCATAGGTAAATACATACATACATACATACACATCGGGAGAAAATAACTCTATATAGTGCATAAACTTATATATATTTTTACACGTACATAAATATATATACAAATGTATATATATCCATCGGCAGCATAACGTTATTGGACATAAGCACGCAAATGCGTGACCAGTTAAGATAAAGTCTAATAATGTCCAACTTTCGTAGTCGTGATAATCATGGCAACGTAGACGCAAACAGTATAACGAAACTACAGAGAATAGCAGAAAAACAGCCTAAGGAAATAAGCATCCAACAGGCTAGCTGGCAAGATGGATCAGTTAAAAGCAAAAGAGGATATACATACCTATCCATACGACATTGATTGAAGTGAAATTGAAAGCGACATAGTCGATATGGATTCTGTTGATTTAATAAGCGAAATTAAGCTGAGACCTTAATCAAATGTGATGCATGAGCGACGCTTAACTTTCACCCTTTGCACACCAGAGGCAACTGCAACGCCAACGCTTCCGCCAATGCTAAGGGCGACGATGCGTACCGAAGTCAAAGATATAAAGGATGTGAAAGCTAAATGTTGAATGAGTGGCATACATGCACACATACTTACATACAAAGTACAGACCCACTGGGAAAATAGGTAAGCACCTTGCGAGGTAAGCCATGTTTTCTTTCAGTTTTTAGTACCAAAATTGTCATCATGGCCAATGTCATCTACTAGTAAAGGGCAAAATGAACACCTCCGAAGACACATTACGTTGTCAGTTGCAAAATAACGTGCAGCCGAAGTTATTTCCAAGCACCGAACTACTCCGAGGGACTGCTCTGCATTACACGTAACTTACTTTGTAAAGCGGCTCAGAAGTATGTCTGATACCAAATGTACATTCTAAATTCCTACTTACATAAGGCGGCCATGCCTTTGTAAAAGTAAGGGACGTTCGGCAGGGAAATGGTAATGACTGCCAGGTGAAGAGTAAGTTGCTAATAAGGTATTATTACGTGCTCCTAATTCCCACTGGGGACGTACATTCACACATACTTACATAAAAAGTACAGACGTAAAAAGTACAGGCGTACATATGTATGTGTGAACCTTCTTTACACCTCGACGAAGGTAAAGTTCAATTAAAGTGGTAAGTTATGATAAAATATCTGTCCTCTCTTCCACTTCTTTGTCAATCGTCTTAGTAATTTATTTATTTAATACGACAAATCGACACCTGAGTGGAAGATCGACCTATCTCGGCAGCAAGTTCGAAACGCTCTATCTCAGAAAACTTTTCAAGAGCACCCTAGCTCAGAATTTGATTGAAGAACGCCCTATCTCAGAATTCGGTTCAAAAATGCCCTAACTCAAATGAAAATGTATTTCAAAATGTGCCGAGCTAGAGCGTTTTCGAATCATATTCTGAGGCAGAGCATTCTTGAAAAGTTTTCTGAGATATGGCGTTTTCTATCTGTAGGAAATTTGTGCCACTAAATGGATCAAAACTGAAGGCAATTTTCAAAAATTGTCTTATACGAAATATAATCACAACAAACACAGTCCTAGAATTGGACTTTTAAGAATACCAATATGTGTATGTCGGCCAACAAAGTCTTGCCGCATGGCGATGGTAAGAAATAGACGTCCCGAAGCTGCAGAAGGCAGTTGGCATGTTTTCAAAGGCAAAATTTGTTGATCGCAATTTTTTATACCCGAGTGCACTTGTTCACAAGGGGTATTATAACTTTGCTCACGTAATGGTTGCTTGTAGCTGCCAAAACGAATCGAGGTAGATATAGACAAAGCTATACATAAATGATTAGAATGAAAAGAGAAATCGATTAAGCGGTGACTGTCTCGATAACTCGAGCAAAAATTGAGATATCTTAACGAAACTTATATCTGTACTTCTTTTCAGTGTAGAACGGATGTTGTTGTAAATGGGCAAAATCGGATAGTAACCACGCCTACCTCCCATATAATGGTAGTTTAAAGAAATACGAAATTTTCGATAAATCTGTAAACACTAAGGGCTGGTTTCTCCAACTCAACTTAACTTAGTTAACCCAATTTTCTTGACTTAGTCATGAATAAGCTGTGTAAAAAGTGGCTAAACGAAGTTAAGTTGAGTTGGAGAAACCAGCCCTGAAGCTTTGTTATTCAAAATTTTTGTTTGCGGTACGGTACCGACGATTATTGTTGCCTGCCATGTAGCGGTAGTTTTCGGAAAGGCGAAAAAACTATATTAAATACCTGCGCCTTGTTCACTTGTTTTCTTTTTTTTGTTAAATGCATACACACAATTGCATTTATGTTATTTCCAACCACTACAAAAATACTTCATAATTTTTTCGTTCAAATACTTACATCTTTATCGCCCAACCGCTCAACGCGACAATGCAAAAATCCCGTTTGCCCTACGGTCACAGTCAAATTTCGCGGCACATCGAAGTCGAAATAGGGCAGAAGATTCGCAGGCGACACAGTAGTTGTGGAAGTTGTAGTCGAGTACGAGCTCAGCGATTCTGTAAGAAAAACAAAGAAATTTAATTTAATTTAACTTAAGT